CAGGTTGTTGAAGCTATCGAAGTAACCAAGACACCATCTTTAAGACAAAGTGCTATCCAGGTTGTTGAAGCTATCGAAGTAACCAAGACACCATCATTGAGATCAGGTGCGGTACAAGTCGTAGAAGCAGTACAACCTAGCAAGACACCATCCCTTAGACCCGCAGCAGCTACAGTCAAAAGTAAGAAGACACCAAAGGAGCGCAAGAGCGTTGGATTGACCGGTATCAAGAGACTTATGAAGACACCAAAACAGAAGAATTGTGCTGACGATCCAGAAGAGAACTTCGTTGCAACCATGTTTGCTACTCCTCACTCTACTCACAAGTCTCACAAGACAAGGAACGCTGTAGCAGACGTAAGTGGTGACTTCGTAGAAGAGCTGGCGATGCCAAAAGAGAAGTCAACAAAATCTCCAAGGATCAGAAATGCTATTGCTGATGTGGAGGACAGACTCGAAGCTGAGCTGTTTGGCTCGTCTGGGAAAGCTAAGAAGACTCCAAATCCAAAGAAACGCACTTATTCTGCGCGGGTGACCAGGAAATTCAAACAGGAAAAGGAAGACGAGGACGCACCTGAAGCAGAACCTCAGATTGTCTCTGCAGAAGTGGTAGCTGTAGATGATGCTAAACCTGAAAAAAGAACTAGAGTCAAGAGAGCAGCTTCTGAAGACTCAAGTGTGAAAGAGCCCGCTAAGAAACGCATGAGAAAAGCGGCATCTAAGGAAGAACAGTCTGAAACCAAAGTAGAACCCGCTGTTATGAAACTGGAGCCTGTGCGTCGCCCAACTAGAAGTTCAGCGCGTGGAAAAGATTCCAGTAAAACAAAGAAAAGCTCGTCCAAGACTGGCGTAGTTGAAACACCTAAACCATTGTCATTCGAGCGCACGGTCTTGGAAGCAATCCCTGAACTGCCTACTCCAATGACATCGCCTCTTCCAAGTACTAGGACAAGGAAAGAGTCTATGATGTCCCCAACCCTTGAAGCCATACAAGAAAAGGAAACCCACGAGAAACCAGCTGAGATAGTTGAGGAGAAGGTGGTGTCAAGCAAATCTTCCCGTGGTAAGTCCAAAGCTAAAGCAGAGGAGAAACGTGATTCTACGGCAGAAGTAGAGGCCGTGGTACCATCTACACGAAGGGGAAGAAGAACAAAGACTGAAAAAGAACCTGAAGTGGGAAAAGTAGAAGAGAATGCTGTAGAATCTAAACCAACGCGTGCTTCTCGAGGGCGTAAAGTCGTAAAGGAAGAACTCCTCGAGGAAACAGTGAAAGCCAACCGTTCGACAAGAAACGCAAAAGGTAAAAAGGCTGCAGAAGTGAAAGAACTTACAAGCGAACTTGAACAAGAAGTAGAAGATCCAAAACCTAAACGGAATACAAAAACAAAGAAAGTAGAAAAGGAGGCAGTTACAGGAAAGCCTGTTAGAGCAACACGCACTAGAAAAGCTCAAGAATCTGCAGCTGTAGATGTGAAAGATGAAACAACAGACGAGAACGAAGAAATCGTAAAGCCAATATCCACTAAGACAACAAGAGGCAAGAAAACTGTTGTTGAAAAAATTCCTGTCGAAAAACCAAAGCAAACACGCTCGACACGAAGCAAGCGAGTGAAAACTGATGTTGAACCAGCCACTGAACAGCCAAAAGCGACACGTAATACTCGAGGCAAAAAAACTAAAGTTGAGGAGGTAGAGGAAGAGAAACCAGCCGAGGTCATTAAACCACGAGCAACTCGTTCGAAGCGTGCAGCAGGAAAAACAGCGCCTCAAGAAGAAGCAAAACCTGTAGAACAAGAAACTTCTGTGGAGATCAAACCACGAGCAACTCGTTCAAAGCGTGCCACAGGAAAAACAGCGCCTCAAGAAGAAGCAAAACCTGTAGAACAAGAAACTTCTGTGGAGACCGAGCCACGAGCAACTCGTTCAAAGCGTGCCACTGGAAAAACAGCGCCTCAAGCAGAAGCAAAACCTGTAGAACAAGAAACTTCTGTGGAGACCGAGCCACGAGCAACTCGTTCAAAGCGTGCCGCAGGAAAAACAGCAGCACCAAAGAAGGAAGCAAAAGCTTCGACACGAGGGAGCAAGCGCATGGCAATAGAAGATGTAGCACCATCTCCAAAGAAACTACGAAGAACCACCAGGTCTAGAAGATAAACCAAAAAATAGGCTTAGCATTCTTAAAGTCATGCTTTTAATCTCGTTATTTTAAAAGAACTTTTTATCTTTGAGGAAGCATCTTTTATCACTCCATCGATACGTTAATTTTATGCGCGCAAATACATTATACATAGATACGGTTTTAAGCCTTCCATTCGTGCGATACGTTTCTATTTTATCATATTTTTATGTCACAATCGTTGAGTTATTCTCAAATTTTAAACAGAATTGCATGTTTATCCATCATTATTTTTGAAGTTTCTGAAGTAGAATAGTAACCATAAAATTTTAACTAGAGCAGGTTATAGTGTGTAAATGCTACCAGAGTTAATACCGGGTATAGGAGACATGCATGTATGGCTTATAAATGCGCATACAGATACGAACTCCTTATCAATTGCCCTCTGTAAATAACATATATAATGGGCTAAAATATTAAATATTGATAAACAAAAGTAATGTTTGAAGTTTCTCCTCCAGTTTTAGTTGATATTGGCGCTATTCTAGTGGTTGTGCGACTTGAATATAATCAATCGGTTAAAGTGGTCGGGGTATTAAATTTAACCAGACTGCCTTTGTGAATGTGGGTCACTTTACTATCATTAGACCGAGGGTGTGGTTGCAAGGGGGATTGGAGGGGAAGAAGAGCCAAGATGGAGATAATACCTCTACCAGCTGAATCAGATCTGATCATGTTTTAAAAGAGGTTGTGGATACGTGAATCTTTATAACAGATTCAGAATCGAAGTCACTAAAGTTGCTTCGTCCAATCCAAATTTTGCATCTTTAGGCGCAATTACAGCCAGAAACGCTTTTCACAGGTCAAATAATAAAACATGATAAAAGGGTAAATTTTACTCCGCGAAAAGATGAAAAAACTTAAAAAAGAAAGAGGTGGTAGAAAGGAATGTTTATATACTGAGAACAAGACAAAAGAAACCAATGAGAACGAAAGAAACAAATCAAGACAAGAGTGGATTAGTTAAAGGCAAAGCGTTCATTAATCCTAGTTGGGACTAACGGAATAAGCCGCATTTCTTTGGTCAAATATAACTTTGATAATTTTTTTATTTTCTTCTATCATAACCTAAAAATTCGTAAAGCTTTTGCGCTTCGTTTTTCGGCCAGTCGCTCCAGTCCTCTTTCATCATTTGCGGCAACAATTCCTGTGGAAAAAACGGTACAATCCTCGATCTTGAAAATCATTCAGTACTGGATGGCATTGTGACGGACTCGAACGAAAATCGATGTAGTTTGATTGTAATTATGATAATGCTGCAAGTAAGGGTGACATGGTCGTAAACTTTCTTCTGAGTGCATGCGTATCCACGTGGAAGTACCTTTAATGATGTCGAGTCGAACGCTTGTTTCTGGTTCTCGCGATTTTCACATACCAATACCAATATAGTGTAGACAGTATTCTTTCTCTGGCAATGAAAAACGAATGGGTCATGCACCATCAACATGAGTCAATATCTTTGCAAAAGCAATCTTTAGATCCGACGACGAATACGAGACCGAGTACGAGTTTTTAAATTGACCCTGTGCAAGTGGTTAACACTAAATCGTAGTCGATTTCCGATTTTTACAATATAAAGTTTCAATCTACATACACGACCACGACTACAAACAGATAGTGCCTCTCTTCCAAGGTTAAAAATTCGTATTTGTACTCTTTCTCTTACTCGTCGTCGGATTTAAAGGTATGTAATATAATTCTAATTCAATGTGGGGTTATGCATATCAGTAACTCACAAGTTCACTGTATTCTGTATCCTTATGATCGTTGAGTAAGCTGCAAAGTTCTTCCACCAATCCTAACATACTGAAAACAAGATGAAATGTTCAAGACGAAGAGACAGGAAATGAGTGTGCGCAATCGTCGGGGAGGGGGAACTACTGTTTCATGCTGGGTGGTTTCTACAAGAAGTCCTGTCTTTCTTTCCACACACAGTGAAGTAAACCACATATATAGATCATATATGAAGAAGAGTCACTAGGATTTTACTACCATTTTTTCTCGGATCATCTGGAGGTGGGAGCCAGGTAGGAGTGAGAGCGGCTTAAGGAAAACATGTTCTAAACATTACCTTGAGCGTTCACGGGCCTCTTTGCTGGAACAACAAATATTTGCAATCGCTTCTACGCATGTCTGATTACAGAAGAATCGAATTTATTGGTTAAGAAATCACTATCTGAAAAAATCAAGTTGTCAGCAGAGGCCTTCAAAAAAAGCGCAGACAGCTGGGCTGAATGTTTGTGAGTCAGAAAAAGACAGCTTCAACCTAAAAACATCACATATCACAAAGAAGAGCTAAAGAACTCACCGTCACCATAGCGACAGGCGTGGATCGATCACCGATGAAACTCGTCATATTTAACAGGTAATTGGCGGCCAATTTTGACACAGGGGGACCACCTGATGGAAATCAAAGGAGACAAACCAGTTTTTAAATGTCATATTTAGAAGATCAAATTCGAAATAATGCATTGAGAATTTTTTCAAATAGCGAAATGTTTTTGCAAGCACAGAGACGCCATGTAGAGACATCGACGCGGAAGCGAATTTTGATGTAAATAACCTATTTATTCATTTATTCATTGGTCGATAGGTCAGTCGGTTGGTCGGTCGGTCGTTCGGTCGGCCGGTCGTTCGTTCGTTCGTTCGTCGTTCGTTCGTTCGTTCGTTTATTTAATCATTTATTTAGCTTTTATCTCACATCAGAGCAGAGACGCCATGTAAAGACATCGACGCGGAAGCGAATTTTGATGTAACCTATTTATTTATTTATTCATTGGTCAGTTGGTTGATTGGTCGGTTGGTCGAACGGTCGGTTGGTCGGTCGGTCGGTCGGTCGGTCGTTCGTTCGTTCGTTTATTTATTCATTTATTTAGCTTTTATCTCACATCACATTAAGGATAGTTTTAAAAAACCGAATTACACTAGAAGAGACGAGGTAAGGGATACCGTCACAGGAATCGAAATAAATGGTCAGAATCGAAGTCGGAAGCAGATTATGAAGAACTGAAAACTAGAAAACAAACTGGAATCTGAAGGATTGGAAGCCGGGTTTCAAGAGAAGCTTTCATTTTCAAGTTTTATGCATGAACTGCTTTCGACTTTGATTGTTATTCCGAGTGAAAACTAGGCTTAACATTGATCTCTTTGTTGGATTATATTCTCGTACACTAGCTTCTCGACTATCACACGTTTCACTGGTTCCTGGTCCAAGAGTTCGATCACCTCAGGTAAAGCTCTTTTTCCCAACTTCATAGAAAGTCCTATTATGACAGTGAAGGTACTATAGCGCATAGGATTGTGGGAACGAATGAAATTTAGTGCGCAAGATGGCGGAGATTTAGTATGTCGTCCCACAATCCTGTGCGTCACGAGTTCGTTTCCAGTCCTCGTTTGAACTTAGATAAAACTTGACGTCATATTGCAATTGCCTCAAGAGATGAAAATATGATTAAGAAACACCGACCTGACCAAGCTATGTGTCCAATATCTTTAACGGCTGAAACAAACAAAGGATGTGTTTAAATATTTATTGAATAAGATCCGTTTTTTTTTTGTTTTGTTTTGTTTGTTTTTTTGTTTTGTTTTGTTTTTTGTTTTTTGTTTTTTTTGTTGTTTTTTTTTGTTTTTTTGTTTTTTTGAAGTTATGCTTTAAGTGGAAAACGATGAGGTTGGTTTTTATTCGAAATGAAAAAAAGATTTAGTGTAAATGAGAAACGCTGACGCAAATATTGGACCTATTTTAGCTTCATTGCTGTGCACATTCAGACCGTGTGATGCCAATCTTGGGAGTTGGTTCTTTCATGTGTCTATTTTAACATCTTCGTCATAAAAGAACAATTCTCAAGGGAATGTCATATGATCTGAAATAATCCAATTTGCATTTGAAGCTAAAAAGATCTATTGGAAAGTCTTTTCAATGGTAAGAGATACTGTGCCGTAAGTCAGTACTTCGCACGTTCCCATTTAGAGCGCAGTTTTCGTATCGGGCACGGGAAACCTACAAACCAACATGCCGACATTGAAGTGGCTTCTCATTGTTTTCGAATTGATCATCCAATCACACCGTGTAGTTACGATTACGGTAACATTCCCTTTCTACGCACCCACTCTTACTAATGCTACCTTTGAGTCGTTGTTCCAGGAATGGAGAAGACGACATGATCTTGGCGGCGACAAGAATATCCCTCTCATAGAGGTTATCATCCATCAACAAAGCAATGTCCTTCTCCGGGATTCTGACTGAATGAAGAAGACGAATTCTGTCCTATGTGTTGGCAATGTAAAGGTTGACGAAAAAACTAGGTCTAGTTGGCAATACAGTGCATTGTGGGGACGTTTTAGGAACATATTTCCAAGATGGCGGCTATTACGTCCCCTTAAACCGCCCCAAAATGCACTACGATTTCAACTCGACCAAGCTTTTTTCTCGACCTTTGAATTGCTCATGTGTGCTACATTTGTGTTTAGTTTGACCGTGATTAATGTTTCGGCCTCGAATTTTTTTCTGGAAAATTAACTTAATGACATAATTTGCATCCTAGATATTCTCCTAGTACCAGGAAAAGGAGTAGAAATCACTAAATATGCCTTTCAATCTCGGAAAATTATGAAGCCTATGATCGTGCAAATTGCATGTTGATCAAATGTTCAGGATAATTGTGAAACGATCATTTCAGCATTACGCATTGTCAGGCTCAAAATAAAGCACATCCAACTTACTTATTTCAATTTCATGATCAGTTATTTAGGTTACTGGGACTTTGTTTTATCGTATTGATGGGTTCAGGCATTCCAAAGAGAGTTAAAAGACAAAAACATGGCGGCCATTGTGGTGCCGTTAACAATGGATGCCATGAATGAGAAATCTTTTGTTGAATGGTACCAACATGGCCGTGATGACGTACGCGTGCAAACGAAGAATTCTCGTAGCCAAAATCTTTAAGAGATGCATTAGCAGATCCAGATATTATAGATGCATGCAAATTAGACGCAGATGAGACAACAAGAATTGTATCAACACGAAAGTCTCAATTGTTGCAGGCTCAACTGTAATTACGAACATTGCGCATGCGCCTTACCGGTAGTATTTCGTCTACGAAACTCGCGCACTGTGTCATTCACTTGATCCGTAATCCAATTCATTTTAACCAGTTACTTAACTTCCACGCATAAGAATATGCTGCTTTAACATAACAGAGAGGGGGAAAAAGCCTTCGTGTCATAAGGTTTTCATTATTACGTAAATGCGCGCGCACATTTAAGATTAAGACTAGAGCTCTTAAATTGTGATGTATTTCCGGGCCAATATGGTCAAAATTTCTCTAAAATCTTGCCACAACTTGTTCCCAGGATTTATTCTCTACTTCAACAATTAAATATATATACAGAAAATCCTTCTACGAAGAAAAAGAAAACAAAGAAAAATGTCTGTAG